GGGGGGGGGCGAGGAGAGGCACTCCGAGAACCTCACAAAGGTCCTAATCTTCTTTTCTTCTTTACTCTCTGCAACCTTTCTTTTCTATCTTCTCTTAACCTCGTCGAGCATCTGCTTCTCTCTACCATCAAAATAGAGAACCCCTCTTCGTTATGTCTTCCGCAAGATGAATGTCGACCAGAAAACCATAACAACGCGTCCTGATACAAATGCTTTCCTGAATGCATCTGGCGGCGATCGAGGATACATTCAATAGAGAAAAGACTACTGGTCTCACTATAGCGAGTGAGAGTCATTCCGCCCTAACCTGACATTTCGCTGAATGCTTCTGAATCCTTCCCCTAAAGAATTGGGCAGACAAAACCCTACAAGAGCCTAAGGCAATTTCCTTAGGTTCAAGAGTACTGAAGTAGTATACAGAAATTCGGTGCCCTTTTAACGACTAAGGCCAAACAAAACAGCGATCGTACAGTTAGTCTTCAACAACTGCCAACACTTACAAAAAAAAAAAAAAAAAAAAAGGACACCACCACCCTCCCCCGAACATAACGCACCCTGATAGTGAGTGCATGTAAGCCGTATTTCCGGTCAGGTACAGCCAAATTGAGTGTGCGCTGTGTTCGGGGGAAGACGGTCACCCATCGGCAGAGATGATGTGAAACGCCTCCAATAACATTTTAAAAAGATTGTCTCGGTTGGTATGACGGTTTGGTTGGGATTTCTATGAAGTTCTACCATCTATACAGAAAAAAAAAAAAAAAAAAAAAAAATCCAGCAGGGAAAGAACGACTTCACAAATGTCACATAGACAGACATTGGTCGGCACAGGAAAAGAGATATCGTCCTGCGTGAACTTTGTCGTTTACGGCAATACATCTGGAAGACTGGACAAAAATGTCGCGCCACGTGGATCCTTGTCATTTCTCGAAACGAACAGACCAGGAAATCTGGCGGCGGCGATGGCGGGAGAGAGACGGACCAACCGGCGATAGCGATGGCGGGAAATCTGGCGGCTGCGATGGCGGGAGAGAGACAGACCAACCGGCGATGGCGGGAAATATGGCGGCGGCGATGGCGGGAGAGAGATAGACCAAGCGGCGATGGTGATGGCGGGAAATCTGGCGGCGGCGATGGCGGGAGAGAGACAGACCAAGCGGCGATGGCGGGAGGAGAGCAGAAGAACGTCAAGAAGCAGACGAGGAATGAGAGAGACAGTCAGATGGAAGAGAGAGAGGAGGGACGAAGAAAGTGGGAGGGGGAAAGACACAAGGAGGGAAAGAGGGGGAAGTGAAATTGAGGGATCTCTAAAGGAAAAAGAAAGGGGTGCAATGGCGAGAGAAAAAAAAGACGAGGCACGAATCTGTCAGGACACAGAGGCGATGGATAGCGAGAAGACGTATGTGCCTAACCTGCTGAGAGAGGACTCTCCGCCCGCCCCAACGTGCTGTTCCTCTTATAATGACGGCGGCGCTATGATTAAGTAATACGATTACAAGAAGCGAGAAAAGAAAGCTTGGCTTGTGCAGGACTTACCTGCATCCCATCGTTAAACCGCCACTAGTAATTCTTGACACGAGCTAGAGATATGGCGGCGTGCATCAACGATCCACATGTCATCTCATCGTCATCAGCAAACGATCTCCGCCGGGACGTGACAGCTACCCTTGATACAAAGCATTGAGCGCTAGCGATGGCGATAGCGATGGCATGCGTCAGAGTTGCTCACCGGGCAAAATGACGAAATGACCGCTGCCGCCGGCCCAATCTTCAGCACCGAGACATAGCGTTGCTCGGGGCTGATCGGGCACAATGAGCCCAGGGGGAAAAAAAACGATTGCAAACCAAATTCCATCACATTTGCAAATCGAATATTTCTCGCGCGGGGGCGTTGAGAATCGGTCCTCAGGTGGCGGCGCCCAGTTTAGCCCTCTGTTGATGAGCACACACGCCCCTGTCGTGAACCTTCCCCCTCCTACCGTACTACAGTACAGTACAGCAGCTACACAGATGGAT